CTTTCTTTGCTAATTCTTTCAATACCATGGACTTCTTCCTTCAGTATCATTGGCTCTTGATCATATGCTACCTCTTTAAATGGCTGAACGTTGAGCATTCTTTGTTATTCATCTATAAATATTTCATAGCAAGTAATGTCATCTGCATATGTTGTTGTTGTTGTTATTAAGTGTCGTCGAGTTGGTTCTGACTCATAGCAATCCTGTATAGGGTTTCTGAGGAGTGGTTGGTGAGCTTGAACTGCCAACCTTGTGGTTCAAACCAACCCTGAAGTGCAGCGCATTAACCCGCAGCATCACACCAGGGCTCCTGCATATAGCAGGTTATTAATGAGCCTTCTTCTGATCCTGATGTTGTGGTCTTCATATCGTTCAGCTTCTCAAATTGTTTGCTCAGCATACAGATTTAGTAGTTATGTCACATGGAACCCTGACGCTCACCTTTTTTTATTTTAAACTACTCAGTACCCTCTTGTTCTGTTTGAATGACTGGCTTTAGTCTATGTTTTGGTTCTGCATGAGCACAATTAGGTGTTCTGGAATTCCCATACTTTGCACTGTCATCCATAATTTGTTATGGTCCATACAACTGAATGCCTTTACATAGTCAATAAAGCACAAATAAATATCTTTCTGGTGTTTTCTACTTTCAGCCAAGCTCCAGCTGACGTCAACAGTGATATTCCTTGTTTCACATCCTGCCAAATCTAGTTGGAATGTCTTGCAGCTCCCTGCTGATGTACTGCTGCAGTTGTTTTTTTAATTATCTTCAGCAAAATTTGACTTGCATGTAATAATAATGATACTTCTCAATACTTTCTGCATTCTGTTTGGCCTTTTTTCTTTGGAATTGGCACAAATATGGATCTCTTCATCTGTTTCCAGGGATTTGTCTTCCAAATTCTTTTCAATTGGTATTCAGTCAGTTCCTGGAGCCTTGTTTTTATAATAATTTCAGTGCAATTTGGACTTCTTCCTTCAACACCATCAGTTTTGCAACATCCTGAAATGCTTGAATATTGACCAATTCTTTTTGGTATAGTGACTCTATAGATTCCTTCCATCTTGTATGCTTACAGCATCATTCAGTATCTTTCCTATAGTATCCTTCAAGTTTTTCATCTTGATAAATGGTGAATGTGTTCTTCCCTTTTGGTTTTCTAACTCCAGATCTTTGTACATTTCATTGTACAATTTAGTTTGTCTTCTTAAGCTGTCCTTTGAAATGTTCTTTTCAGATATTTTACTTTATTTCTTCAAGTCACTTTAGCTTCACCATGTTCAAGAGCAAGTTTCAGAGTCTCTCCTGACATCTACTTTGTTCTTTTCTTTCTTTCCTGTCTTAATTTATAATCAGAAAATTTTAAGCTAAAGGAAGTATTAGTGGTGGTGGTGGTGGTGTGCCATGGAGTCAGTTCTAACTTATAGCTATCCTGTGTAGGGTTTCCAAGGCTATAAATCTTTATGGGAGCAGAAAACCTCATCTTTCTCATGTGGAATGTCTGGTAGTTTTGAATTGCTGACCTTGAATTTACCACTACACTACCAGTGCTCCTTAGAAGTATTGAAGGTATTCAAAGATCATTTTTCTTTTAGGTTTGTGAATCTGTTTTTTGTTTTCTCAACGTTGTGCAGAATGAAGATGTTTAGAGCAGATTTTTGACATGAAGCAGAATTGAAATGAATGGAGTTTTTCCATAAACTTTTTTAAAATCACCCTTGTATTTGCTCTTGATAATGAGCTACAGATCCTCAAACTGCTAATTTTCCACATGAGGAAAATGGGGCCAGAAAGACTAACTGCTCTTTCCAGAGCTATATCATTGCTTAGCAGCCAGACTTGGAGTCTCGGCTACTAGGCCAGTTAGATTAGATTTATTTCAGTATGTCCTTGTTTTCATTTGTGTGAATGTGATTCATTCATTTCAAGTGAAAATGGTTATAGAAATTAGGACTAGATGGGCCCATTTTAATATGTTGAGCTGGGTGTGGCTTTTTAAAGTTTCAACAGACATGAAAATTTTATATCTTCCCTTAGGCAACACCATGCATACATAGGTCTTTTGAAATAGTAAAGGAAAAAAATAAATTACTAGTGGGCTCCAGTCCAGCAAGCAAAACCCAGGTTACAATTCTCATCTTTATACAACCTGTTCTTACTGCACAGGTCATGTGTGACTTTGTTTATGAAGAGTTTCTGTTTTAAACATGAGCATACCTGAACTACTTAAGTGATATTCTGCCTTTTGTTTAGTAGACTCTATTTAAAGGTAGAATTTAATCATATTAATTGTCTCTAATGCTGTGTGGTGCTGTTAATGCACTGGACTACAAAGTTGGTTTGAACCACAGAGGTGGCAGTTCAGGCTCACCAGCTGCTCCTCAGAAACCCTAATACAAAGTTGCTGTGGCTTGGAACTGACTCGACAGCACTTAACAAATGCTATTAGTTTTTCTTAAACTGTGTCTCCAATTAAGGGTAGTTGTGTGTCAACACATAGTGACCTAGTAAAGGGTTGTCAAGGCTGTAAATCTTTATGGAAGCAAAAAGTCTGATATTTTGCCCATGGAGGGATTGGTGGATTCGAACTGCTGACCTTGTGATTCACAGCCCAACATGTAACTCATTACACTACCAGGGCTCCTTCCAGTTAAGGGTAACCAGTTGAGGGTAGTCATTGTATAAGCACTGGATGGCAAGGTAGGTTTGAACCACAAGGTTGGCAGTTCACCTCTGCCAGCTGTTCCTTGGGAGCCCTGTCTAGGGTTGCTATGAGTCTTACTCACTAGATGGCACTTATCAGCACAACAACAACTCTTATATTTTAAGTGATTTTTTTTGTAAATATTTGAGGGTTTTGAGGTGTATGTAGTTTTGAATATTACATATGTGAAGAATTATTTTGGCTGTTCATTAATATACTTCTTTTCAGTTTAACTTTGTTTTAATGATATTTAGGACATCCAGCAATAAATCTAATTGGTGGGAAGAATACTGATGGTTTAAGTTTTTCTTTCAAAAAAAGACTGACTTTCTATAAGATTAGAGGTACTGGTACCTCAATCCAGCTGTTTTTGCCTTTCTCAAAAGGCCAGTTTTAGAATCATTAATTTGAATAATTTGATATTTACAAATAGTATCACTTTCGGAAATTATGTGAACTGAACAATAGAATTATTATTTTTTTCTCCTCTTTAGATTTTCCCCATAAAATATAGCCCTTTCTTTTCCGCATAGTGTCAGACCTCCATCCCTCATTGAGTGAGCTTTTTTGTTTTTGGGTTGTGAATTCTTTTCATCTTTGCTCTTTTCTTATTTAAAATGTCTACTGGATTTCAGCTAGTAGCCTGTTATTACGTATTGTATTTTACTGATAAGAGCATACTTATGGCGATCCCATGTGTAGCATCGTGCACCATACAGTTTTCTTGTTGTTAATTGCCATTGAATCAGCTCAATTCCTAGTGATCCTGTTTAGGGGTAAGGAGGGGCAGATCCTAGGTGTGTTTTAGTGGCTGATTTTTCTGAGAAAGTTCACTAGGCCTTTTCCCTTAGGAGCCTCTGGGTGGATTAGAACTTCCAATCTTTCAGTCAGTAGCTGAGAACATTAACCCATGGAACCGTTTTACTGAGATTTTCTCTCACCACTACAACTAACTAGTTTGTTTGGCTTTGTGTTTAATGTTCCTTAGCTGCCTAGCAATCAGTGTTACCTTTCTCTTGCCACACACTCACTTACGTTTTCCCTAAGACACCTCACTGTCCAAGCATTCAAGCTGTTGAATTTAAATTTCTTCTTGTAAAAATCCTTCCTTCCCTCTTTGCTATAGAACCCTGATTTTTCTTCCCATGGGGATGAGTCTCTCAGCGCGGGAAAACAGTAATTGTCTTCTTTAAGTGGCAGGTTGTTTCTGGTCTGTCAGAGCCATCTGTTTGGGAGGGAGGTGAGGTTTCGGGGAGACTCTCACCACACAGTTGGTTCCAGCAGGCGTAAGTGGACTGACGTGTGCCAGCATGTTGGGAGGCCATTCCCTCACCTGAAAACCTTAACAAAGTAGAGATAAAGCGCCCGCATAGGATCATCACAAGTTCAGACCCATAAAACACACATTGTGTGTGTGTGTGCTCTTTCTTTCTTTTTTTTTTTTTCTTTTTCTTTTTTAAAAGTAGCAACGCTAGAAGGCTACAGTGACTGTGCTAAGCAAATGAGTTTTCTGATTTACAGCTAACTGTGGAACAGAAGTTGTGGTCACTGCCTTGTAACTGTTTACATTAGGGAAAAGCATTGACTTGTGAATGGAGGATTTTGATTTTGAAATCAGATATAAGGACAGTGTTGGGGGTGCAGAGATAGGTTTTCGTTTTTGGAGGCAGTTCCTGGGGCAGGTGCAAGGAGTGAGTAATGTACCACACCTAAACTCCATGATTTAGCCAATGAAAACTGACTTCCCCTTGATCCTTATAGTATGGTTTCCCTGTCTGTCAAGAGCCGGCTCAGCAACCAAACCCAGATTCCAGGTGTGGTATTCCACTGTCGTGCTATAATTTGTAATCATAGAAACAGAATGTTCCTCCTCTTATTTCTTCCCTGCCAACAGTTTCTGGGTGGGTGAGTGTCAGTAGCTGGAGTTATTTTTAAAGAGGAGAGGTGAGGCTTGTCGTGCAAAGCTAGAAAGAGGGCGTATGTTTGTAGAGCAGAGCTGACATCAAAGTGTAGATTACTGCTCACTGGCTAGGCACTTGTCCTATAATAGGTAATGTTTAACGTGCCAGTGACAAAGATCACAGAAACAGCGTATGTCCAGGCATAAGATAGCACTATCGTTTATGCTCTGGAAGACTGAACGGCTGTACTTGCCCACATATTTTTTTAAAGAAATATTGAGTGTATAACATTCTTGTTACCTTCTTTTTCACTGCTTGTAATTGGACTTTGAGGCTTGGAAGTTCTATCATAAAGATTTGTAACCTTTGTTTGAGAGAGCTGGGCTGAGCAGTCACTTTCTGCCTCTTTTCACAGGATAATATCAATGTTTTTTTGAAAGCTTGTGAGCAGATTGGATTGAAAGAAGCTCAGCTTTTCCATCCTGGGGATCTACAAGATTTATCCAATCGAGTTACTGTCAAGTAAGTTCCACCTGTTTGTTTTTGTGTTTTGTTAAACTCTGGGCTCATAGATTAAGTGAAAAGAATTGCTTAGAGTTTATGATTACTGAAAACTACTTTCTCTCTTCTCATCCCCAAATAGACTTTTTTTAAAAAAAAAAACGTAGAGACTGTGACTATGAAGCTACCTGTAACCAATAACATGTCATGGTGTTTTCTCTCTGTGCTGACTGAAAGGGAAGTTGACACCTCAATCCTTATACACCATGGTGGTGTTTGCTAGCTAATGGTGAAGATATCCATTATACTTATGAAGTGAGTTTAGATGTTACTATTGCTTAAAGAATAGAAAATAATTATTTTTAAATAGTTTTTCATGTAAGGGGGCTTCAAAAAGTTCACGGAAAAACGGAATTAAAAGAGAATACCATTTTTCTGTAACCTTTTTGAAGCCCCTTCGTATGTTTGGGATGAAGACCTAATTGCTAGCATTAAGATTTGAGTAGGACAGTAGTAAAAGATATTTTCTTTCCTGTTTGGAAGGCTGCAGTGCCTGAAATCTACATGCGATGACAACAACCTTATCAATTGTGAATAAAATTTAAAAATAACTGTTGCTTAGTGTTTTAATATTATAAACAAGAAAGTGAAAGTGGGGTTAAAGTGGACACAGGTATACTGCTGTGTTTTTTAGATGGAAATTAGTGTTCATGTGTGAGTATATGGTTTCGGGAAATCTGGTTTTAAGCTCTAGCGAGATTTTTTTGTTCCTATAACTCTACTTTGCTTGCAGGGAATTAGCAATATACTCATGTTACAAGCTAAGTGTGGCAAAAAAATGATTTAATTTTGTAATAATGACTACCTCCTTAACATGACTCTTCAACCTAATGTGCCTGACTCATTAACATTTTTCTAGGAGAGAAAATAAATGCCATAGTCTATCTTTAGAAAAAATGGAAAATCAAAAAATTCGTTTACACCATTTAAAAGATTTATGTGGTTAATATTCCTGCATGGCAGCTTGAACAGTTATTAAAAATTTAGTATAATCATAAATGTGAACTGTTCTTTTCTAGAAGAGGATAGATAGTCCATTATATAAATATCTATGAAAGGACACATTGTCTTTTAGTACGAATATCTAAAACCCCAAATAGAATTAGTCTTTGAAAAATCTCACACTGCTTATTTTTAACTGAACAAACTGTGGAACTTGTATACTTCATACTTGTATTGTTGAATACTCATTTCTAAGCAACACAGGTGTTATAGCAGGGTTAAGTTGGCTTGTGTTTCAGATTTACTGAAAAACACTTGAACGGTCTTAAGCTTCATCGCCAAAAGGAAAGGGTTTCCTTTTCCAGTATGAAAGGTCATGTTTAATATCCATGAAACATGAGTATTGGGATGAATTTTATTTACTCTAATAAAAAATATTCTTTCATAAGACCTATCAGATAGACTTAAGAAACTTTCAACTTTGATAGCCTATTTCAATAAAGTTGTCACTGTGTACTAAAAATAAGAGTGAATTTCCCCTAAAACTTTGATGGGCTTTGAAACTCTATCTATAGTCCATGTTTGTGTACACATGTTTGTATGGACATGTTCACTGACTCCAAACTGCAAAAGTTCTATGCACCAAACTTGCCTGAAGCTTGTTCCTTGAGATGCTGTGCTGAAAGTTACAGAAAAATTGACATCTAGGCTCAGCCCTCAGTGAAATTACATTACTTACAGACTGAAGCAGGGAAGTCACGTACTTAAAGCTGTAGTCAGAAGTATGCAGAACAACTTGTTTCAGTGGAAACCACAAGTCCATAAAAGCAAGGTGTGTTTAAGTAGTACTAGAGAAAATGCTTGCAAGGGAATCTTAATTGTACTAATTAACATTTCTTGTTGTTTTGGACCAGAGAGCAAAGGGGTCGACCCTGGGTCTGCCATAGTGGAGGTGTGGGACCTCTCAGTTCTGAGCCAGGAGAACTTACTTAAAAAGTATTGGCCCCAGCTCTTATGCCCAGAAATAGCATTTTAATAAATGGAAACAGGTTCAAATTTGAGAGCAAATAATTACTTAGTAAATAATAATGCATTACTTTATTTTGAGATTTTGAGCTTAACATTGGGGTGGTGGTGGTGATGTTGATGGTGGTTGTGTGACACTGAGTCAGTTCCAACTCATAGCAACCTTGTATAAGGTTTCCAAGGTTGTACATTTTTACTGAAGCAGAAAGCTTCATCTTTTCCCCGTAGAGCTACTGGTAGATTCAAAGTGCTGACCTTGAGGTTAGCAGCCCAGTTTGTAATCCACTGTTCTGCCAGGGCTCCTTCAATATTGGGGAGAGTCATGTAAATAAAAAACTTGCCCCATCATAATTGTGGGGAGCGTGGTGGCTCTATAGGATAAGCACTGGACTGCAAACCACAGGTTCAAGCCCACCAGCTGCTCCGCAGGGGAGAGAGAGACTTTCTGCTCCCATAAAGATTTACATTCTTGGAAACCCTAAACAGGGTTACTATGAGTCAGAGCCAACTCTAGGGCACTTACAACATCATAACTGTTGATGAGAGGACTTGGTGATGGTTACACCAGTGATTCTCTATAGGAATGATTTTGCCCCTGCACTCCAAAGGACAATTGACAATGTCTGGAGACATTTTGGTGGTTACAGCTTGGTGAGGGAGTTGCTACTGGCTTCTAGTGTGTTGTAGTCACAGATCTTGCTAAATACTCTTCAATGCACAAAGCAACTTCCTTCAACAAAGATGTTTTCGACCCCAAGTATCATAGTGCCGGGCTATAGAAACCCTGGTGTAGACTGAGAACTCCATACAGATTTCCTCTTTGCCATCAAGATAGCAAAGTAGGAATGAAGGAATCTGACTGGCAGACTTTGACACTATTTTGAAAATATAACTTTATTAACACACATAATAACTTATACATTTCTGTTAGTAGGTTAACTGTGTATTGAAAGGGGAAGACTTACTATAATTTTTCTTAGAATGCCGTGATGTGTTTGAGCACTGTGGCATTATTTTGCATACGTTACTTTGAATGAAAATGGTAAACTCTCTGATTATTTTGAGTGACTGATCACAGACTGTTAACAGTTTCATAGACTTGGTTTGCATGACATACTGAAAGAACATAGGAAGGGACAGGGCACACCCTTTATATTGGCAAATACAAGGTATATTTTTATTACTGGACAATATCATACATATAGTTGCTGTATGGAGCTAAGAGAGTGTTGTGTGTTAAAAATGAGTGGCAAGAGTAGAGGCAGTTTATTTAAAGAACAGAAATTAGATAATTTCAGAAATCCAGTCTGGTTAGTGCTGAAGGATAAGCACTGGACCCACAGGATCAGTTTGAACCTCAAGGTCGGCGGTTCAAACTCACCCACCACTCCTTGGAAATGCTGTACAGAGTTGCTATGAGTCGGAACCAAGTTGACGGCACTTAACAACAATTGCAAAAACTTTATATTATTCTAACAGTTTGGAGCTTACAATTTTATTTTCAATAATAACTTTTCACTGGTTAAACAGTACTAGGGTACACTTTATATTTCTGTAATTATGTATATTAATGTATTATCTAATTTTCTAGCTGAATTCTTTTACTTTATAGGAAGTAATTTGAATTTTTTGCTTAACAGGAAGTAGTAAATTGAATTCCAAGAATGTTCAAATTATTCCCTTTATTCTGGAATTGTATATATTCAGGAACTCAGTTGATATTTTAAATTTTGACAGCTCCAAGTTCATGGATAGACTGTAGTTTAATTTTTTTTTTTCTTCCTAAAAGGCTAATAAGTAAATTTATGATACAGCTTTTGTGAATGGTTGAGGTGAAACCTATCCTTGTTCAGATGTTTACTGAGGTTATGAACTTTAAGCTTCCGTGCTTGTGAATAATGGCATGGTTATTATTAACCATTTAGTTACAAAATATCCATATTGAGCTTAGAAACACACACACAACCCATGGAGAAGGGATGGCTACCACAGCACTATCTGTGTATCTTGTCCGTAAAGCAGGAGAGCCAGGCACCGGGACCATGATGCTATGCCACAACATACTGAAGAGCTCATGTTGTTGTTGTTGTTGTTGTTGTCGAGTCAGTTCTGACTCATAGTGAGTGACTCTGTATAAAGTTTCTGAGAAGTTGCTGGTGGGTATGAACCGTCAACGATCTTGTGGTTAGCAGTCCAGTGCTTTTCCTACAGCATTACACCAGGACTCCTGTACTACAGGGCAAAACCAAAACAAAATACCATGGTTTTTGGGGTGGCATCTCGTTAAGAGAAGCCCCTAGAAGCTGCTAATAGTAGAAAATACTCAAGAGAGTAGTCAGAGGTCTTGTGTTGGAGAAATGGATGATAGTAGGAAGCTAGGCTTTACCTTCAAGGTCATTTTGTTTGTCGAGCGGTTTGATCAGAAACTAAGCTCTATTTTTATATCATTGCAATAACCAATGTATTAATATTTTAAAGCAGAGAATATGAACAGATTGCAAGCATGTCTCTTCTTTCCACTCCCCTATTCTTCCAATCCAGTGTTTAGCTCTTCTTCAGATACATTCTGTTCGTATTACAGGATGACAATTTTACTGGAACACTGTAGTTTAGAGTCACATAGAAAAAATCATTTTCTAGTGGAGAATTACTCCATGATTTTGGGTATTAATGTTTTAGGTATAAACTGTTACTTTAAATGTTGATATTGATAGTGTTTTTTGTTTTTATTTTCAATCTATTAAATTGAGAATACGGAAATCAGAATCTGATATTTTTAAATATGCTAGTTGCCCAAGAAACAGTAATTGGAAGCAAAATGATGGTTAACATTTTCTTTGTGAGAAGTGTTTTTGAAATGATATTTTAAAGATTTAACTACTCTCGAAAGTGACAGAGGAATCCTGGTGTGGCACTGCAGGTTAATGCGCTGAACTGCAAGGTTGGCAGTTCATGCTCATCAGCTGTTCCTCGGGAATCCTATACAGGGTCAC